GAAAATGTACAACGGTTATTGTGAAAGGCATGTTTTTTTTGTCAATTTCGAACGGCTATTGGCTTTGTCGCGATTCACACGGAGGGACTGCCGCATTTATTGATGAGTTCGAAAGATGAGAGGGCGATCACGAAAGTCTGGAAAACCAATCAATGAAGTCGTCCAGTATTTAAAGATGAATAGTTAATAGTTAATAAGGAGTGCACTGGAATGGAAATGATAATAAAGAGCACAAGGGGACGAGCTCATGCAATTCTCATGAATCCTGGGTCCTACATATTGACTAGCTGTAAGGGAAACAAGAAAATAGGGAGGCCAGGGAAAAAATATCAAAGAAAGAAACATGGGCTCAAAACCAGAGAAGATAAGAGGAAAGATATTGTCCAGCACTACAAGCAACGCAGGAAATGTTCGCAGTTGTGTAAGGAGGAGGAACGTGGTTTGGTGTCAGCTTTTTAACTGGGCTGTGTTCATATACAGGACTAAGACCAGCAACGTGTGATGTATGGACATTTGTATAGGCAGAGCGCAGAGGATGCGAAGAATTTTGGGAAGAATACATATGGATGTGGGATCCTCCCTCCATAATAATAAAGAGCCACATGCATGTGTTGCCTCTCTCAGCCTTCCCTTTCATCATTCCCCCCAAAAAGGAATCAAGTTCTCTCTTGTTATTTTTATAATATATAATATAACTCTCCCTTCCCACCGCATTTTCCTTTTCTTGCTTTTCCAGGCTTTCTGTCAATCAACTTCTCTCTTTCCTTCTTTCCATTTCATATTCCACTTTCAGCATTGTTTTGTACAGTTCAGCCTATGCTTCCTGCTTTCCTTCCTTCCTTTCCCATCAACCGTGTTTAATGTCTTGCCATTGTTTCTTTACACACCTTCTGATTAGTGATTTCATTGCATGCATATTTCAGTTTATTCATAATCACTAGATCGTACCACCTAATTCTATATGGGTATTCACTTATCTCAGAGATAAGAGAAGCAGAAAAGGTTCATCAAATGTCACTGTTTTAATAATTGAGCGGTTTAATGACTCGAGAGATTCATATATACGTGACTAGGCCCAACCAAATAATGCTGCTCTGGATAAGGAATATGCAAAGCAATCCAATCATTCATAGGGCATTATGAGGCAGAGTTATTGTTCTCGTTCTCCACATGCTGTCTATGTGTATGTATTTTTCTGAAGCCAATTTCTAGATATTGCAGTCTCGTATTCTGACATGTTATGGGGAAGTACGTGTCGGGCAAATGACCGCAACTTAATTTGATTAGCTTAAAAGTTAACGTAACAGGGATTTGTTCATCACTGACCACCTTCTGTCCTCTCCTGTGATCTCTGTTATATGGTATGGGCATCTTCTCTGCTCTGCTTCCACACACCCTGGAACACTCCTTCCCGCTTTCACCCAACACTTCACATGCCTCCACACAAAGTAATAGTTAATAAACAATAGCCCCAGAAAGGCTTTTACCCTCTGTTAAATATTGTGATTCTTTAGACTTTTGGACAATGATCAAAACACTCTGTCATTTTTTGCAATATAAGCAACGAAACCATAAATGGCAAGCATGATCTTCTCTTCTTTCATGCATTTATTTATTTGAAAAGAGGGAATATTTTGGCATGGAGAATTTGTAGTTCATAACCATGGTGCTTATTATCACCTTGTTTTATCCCATTTTGAGAGAGAGAGAGAGAGAGATTCTTTTCGTAAATACACGGGATAAATATCCCTTATTTTGACTAACTTGTCCTTTTAATTTGCAAAATAAATAAATGTGGCTAAAGAAGTGAGCAACAGATTAGGGGCAGTGGCTCAATAAATTCTTGTTCACTTGCTCTCAACGCTGATTTCTATATCGCGGGCTTACGTCTCTATAACTTTTCGATTAATGGTAAGATGGGAGAGAATGACAGGCGTGCTAATTAATTTCCTTGATTGGCTTATTAGCCCAGCTGCTGCTTCTAAACTGTTTTGCACGGTGACCTAGACAAGTCCCCAAAATTTCCAAGTGTTATTAATAAGATTAGATTAGTTAATTGATTAAAGCCAAAAAGACGAGTTGGAGCATGTGGAGCCAATTATTGTTGTACCCGAGAAGCAGGACGTTTACAGAGGGCAGAGGCCGTTTTTGCTTTATAAATACAGAGCTTTGAGCCAAGAGGCATTGCGGCTTGAAGCAGGGGGCAGGTTAGTTGTTGGTTGGTTGCGCCAATCTTGTTACTTTTGCGCAGCCCACAGTCACAATGCGTCTCTTCCTTCCCTCCTTTGCTCCACTGGTCCTTATTTTTCTCTTCTCCACCACTCTGCTTCACTGCCATGCTTTCTCTGCCCACCACAATCACCCTCCTCGCAATCTCCACCACCCTCGTTTCGCCGCTCACAACTACAGAGATGCTCTCTCCAAATCCATTCTCTTTTTTGAAGGTCAGAGATCGGGGAAGCTCCCTCCCAACCAGAGGATGACTTGGAGGAGGGACTCTGGTCTCTCAGATGGCTCTGCCTTGCACGTACATTCCACATCTCTCTTTTTTTCCCCCTTATTGTTTAGCATTTACTGTCTGTTGTTGCATTCACGAGGGCAATGTGGAGTGAGGGTGGCTTATATCGGTGTAGAACTGAAATGCAGGTTGATTTGGTTGGAGGGTACTACGATGCAGGGGACAACGTCAAGTTTGGTTTTCCCATGGCATTCACCACCACCATGCTTTCCTGGAGCGTCATTGAGTTTGGGGGTCTAATGAAAGGTGAGTTGCAGAATGCCAGAGAGGCCATTCGTTGGGCTACTGATTATCTTCTCAAAGCCACTGCACATCCCGACACCATCTATGTTCAGGTTATTCATTTCTTGCACCGTCATTTTACCCACGACTACAAAGGGAATACAGAGCAGGGAAGATTGACATTGTTTGGGCTTTGCAGGTGGGAGATGCAAAGAAGGACCATGCTTGTTGGGAGAGACCTGAAGATATGGATACCCCAAGAAATGTTTACAAGATAGACAGGAACACCCCCGGCTCAGAAGTGGCCGCTGAAACTGCTGCTGCTCTTGCAGCTGCTTCTCTGGTTTTCAGAAGAAGCGACCCCATGTACTCTAAAACTTTAATCAGAAGAGCTATTAGGGTGAGTCATTGATTCCAGACAAAACCATAAAGGTTTAATTGAAATAGTAATTTGCATAAATTCTTACGTTTAGTGTATTTTCTGGGTATAGGTGTTCCAGTTCGCTGATAGATACAGGGGATCCTACAGCAACGGCTTGAAGCCCATCGTGTGCCCTTTCTATTGCTCTTACTCTGGCTACCAGGTTAAGGGTCACTGTTAATCTCTAATGAGTGTTGTTCAGGAGCGGTCTTTTTACGTTTAGAGGGATGCAGGGCTCTCAAGTCTTTTGTTTGGTGTCCGTGATAATATATTGTAGGATGAGCTATTGTGGGGTGCTGCTTGGCTGCACAAGGCTACGAAGAACCCAATGTTCCTACATTACATTCAAGTGAATGGACAAACCCTTGGGGCTGCGGAGTTCGACAACACCTTTGGGTGGGATAACAAGCATGCCGGAGCTAGGATACTTCTAACCAAGGTCCCATTTTAACCAACTTTATATTTTAGTCCTTCTACATGATGGTGTTTATGAACAGTGATGGTGCTTAACTGGGTTTTACAATCATGAACTCAGGAATTTCTAGTTGAAAGGGTCCAATCCCTGCATGAATACAAGGGTCATGCAGACAATTTCATCTGTTCTCTCGTTCCCGGAGCCTCTTTTTCTCCTACCCAATATACACCTGGTGAGGTCCCCCCCCCCCCCCAAAAAAAAAAATCCTTGTTTTACTCTCGTGTGGGTTTATCATCTTGTAACGGTCACTTCTTGTTCGTTGCTGTTTGGATACTGTCTACGCAGGTGGGCTTCTGTTCAAGATGAGTGATAGCAACATGCAGTATGTGACATCCTCTTCTTTCTTACTCTTAACCTATGCCAAATACTTGACCTCGTCCCACATGGTCGTCAACTGTGGCGGAATCGCCGTGACCCCCGGCAGACTTCGAGCAATAGCCAAGAAACAGGTTCCATTTCAATGCCCTGCGAGTGATTATTATTTTCACAGCGCATGAATTGTCTTGTAATTTGATTAAGGGGATATATGATGATGTTTTTCGCAGGTGGATTACTTGCTCGGCGACAACCCCTTGAAGATGTCGTACATGGTGGGGTATGGTCCAAGGTACCCACGAAGGATTCACCACAGGGGATCATCCCTACCGTCGATCTCAGTACATCCGGGAAAGATCCAATGCTCGGCAGGCTTCAGTGTGATGAAGTCGCAATCTCCGAACCCAAACATTCTGGTCGGAGCCGTTGTGGGCGGGCCCGACCTCCATGATAGGTTCCCAGATGAGCGGTCAGATTACGAGCAATCAGAGCCAGCCACTTACATCAACGCACCCCTGGTGGGAGCACTGGCTTATCTTGCTCACTCATTTGGCCAACTCTAAGCTAGAAACTATAAACTATGAACTTTTGAGTCGTTTCTTTGTGTTGTTATTATCAGTGTTGTGAGTTGATTTTGGGTAGTCGCATTCCTTGGGAGTGCACGAGGTAGTTAGAGGGCAGAGAGTCGCCAGCTAAGAGCGCTAGCCCCAAGCCTCGAAGCACATTGGTGTAGATTTGGAACATAGAGATAGGATGGCTTTTATAGCTTTACGGTGTCATAGTTTGGTGTACCTGGTCTTGAGTTTAGCCGTTTAGCTTTGTTGCCGTGGGGCATATTTTAATGTTTGGCGCCAGAAACGGCCATTTGTGTGCAAGGATGTGATATTCTTCTATGGTTAATGCAAATTGTAATATGCTTAACGTACTCGAAAGTCCCACGTCCAATCCAGTTTATTTTGTGAGGCGTTGCTGTGTTAAAGAATGACTTTTACGATGCAACTTTTTATTGAAACTCGGTATTAAATTATTGCAGGTCTCGTAGTCCCAATAAATTCAGGTTTAATTTATTTATTGTTCATAATAGCGCACTAGTAAACTTTTAAAATGAAATAAAAAAACTGAAGCGTGGAGAGCGTACAAACTACCAAGATTGGATGGCGAAATATTTGACCGTTGAAAGTAAAGGAATGGGAAATGGTGCTAAACGGTCCCGAAGACATTCTTGTGGTGGGGCCCATCCTGTTCAACTTTTAAGTTTTAACGCAAGAAAAGAAATTCCAAAGAATCAATAATTACTTCACATGGGCCTCCATTTTCACGCAGGCTTCCTCCTTCTTCGGTCTTTTTCGGGTCCAAGACACCCAGACGCGTTCAGCGTTGTGTCAGGCCCAGGCCCAGCCATTCTCTCCCGCCATAATCCATGACATCCATTAACAAGAATTTAGAGGAACGAAAATATGATCTCGTAAAAATATATTGAAATATCTGTTGTTAAATTTTTAACAACTAAAAAACTTCACATGCATTAAGAAAAATATTTAATTTATAAATAAAATTTCAAAATTAATAGATCATTTTTAATTATTAAGAATAAAAAACCTGATCAACATATTCTCCGGTTTCTAAACGATAACCATTTATTTGAACAGGCTTTTGATTAAGCACACCAAACATATTCGAGTTAAATAGAGGAATTCCACTGGTTTGATTCTGTTTTCATGATAGAGGTTACAAACAAGGCCGGCAATTGAGGCATCATCATAATCATAATTGCGAGTCCGGAGAACAATGTTATTATAACGCACACAGAAGCACAGCTTTATTTACACGCCATAGCCTGACACAGTCTTCCTTCACTCGTTTCAGTAGTACAATAGCTGCACCTTGCCCAGGCACCACCGCCACTGCGTTAATTTGCATCATCCTTTGCTAGCGGAACAGAATGTGCCTGCGTCCCATGCGAAACAGAAAGTTAAATCAATCTCCCCGGCATTAACAGATCACGTACAGATAAGCATGGATTCAGACAGCATAAAATCAGGAGATGATAAGGTCGTAACCCTGAAACAAGCTTGAGACCAACCAAACAAATAACACACGCTCACCAAATCACGGAACTTGAGGATGTAGAACATCTCAAGATATCGTCGGGTTTCGCGCCTCTCCAGTTTGGACACATGCTTCCAGAAACCATAAACTCCGGCCAAGGTCATGAGCCTCTCAGAATAGATCTTCCATGTGTACCTGCATATGCTCTGCTTAGCGACTGCATCGCACTAAAAACTTACAATTCCTTTCCCCTTCCTCATTTTTAGGGGAGAAAAATACCTCTCATAAATTCTTTGAAGACCACCGTCAGATATTTTTTTCCAATGGCTTGGGTCCTCCTTGCATCGTTGGAAGAAATCAACCAATAGTTCAGAAGCTTGGTCAGGGTGATAAGGGTCAATGTTAAATCCGGATACACCATGCTCAATTATCTCCGCAGGACCACCATGACAGGTAGCAAACGTGGGCAGCCCACAGGTCATGGCCTCCACAACTGTCAGTCCAAAAGCTTCATAGAAAGCAGGCTGTGACAAGAGAGCTAAGGTTAAGAATCATATCTGAGAGGTCAGGCACCAAAGCATAAACTTCTTTTATGATACCTGAATGAAAGCGCCTCTGGTGTCTGCTATATAGCGATACAGCTCACCATTACGTGCCCTATTTGTTTGGGCAGCTATCCAACGAAAATCACCGTCTAAATTATATTTCTTCATGAGATCGTGCATCTTCTCAATTTCTGCAATTTCTTCTCTGTCCCTGGACTTCTTTACATCAATATAGCCAGCTACAACAACCAGGTTGACCAGTTCCCTCAATTTGCTGTTCTTACTATAGCTTTCTACCAAGCCAGAAATGTTTTTTACTCTGTCTAACCTTGCCATGGAAAATATTATGGGCTTTGACCGGTCTTTAAGTGTACCGCTGCCACAACAGAAACAAAGATTAACTTTACTCATTGCCGTCAGCAGTCTGTCTCGTTATATTTACTTCTGTCAACATGAATTTATAAGTCCAAATTTATAATCCCAGTTGAAATACTCACACATGCTCATCAGTCTGTTCAGGATCATATAACAGCTTTTCAATTGAACCATGCAGGGCAGTTAGTCTTTTCTGCTTTTCAGAGTAGGGAAAGTAGATGCTCATATCTGCCCCAGGAGAGACAATATTGAACTTAGGATCAAAAACGTCAATGCCATGGACAACCCTGTAGAGCCCAGGAAGAGTAAATGCAGTGTGACTCTCATATTGGCCCACAGTATTCTTCCTGAAAGAAGCCAGTGTCAGTAATCAGCAGCAATAGCATGAAGGAGAACTTACATCTTAAAATCCTGAAGAAGAAAGCAAAGGAAAGCACAAAGAATAAAAAGCTAACAACAGTTATGGCCACCTGAGATGAACCAGTAAACTTGATATGAGTTTGAGGCATGGATATGTGAGACCTTGAAGAGCCAAGACAGAATAAAAAACTAAATCTATGATTTGGCATGGATTTCCATAGGCAACAAAATAGAGTCACCGTGAATTGTTCAGGAAACTTAAGACATCTAGGTGCTCTAAATCAAATCCAAAAATTTGTTTCTTGAAAAAGTAGTACATCCCCCAACAAGTAATTACAATAGGTTTGCAGGACCCCAAACATACAATGTTAAAGAACATACTACTACTTTCATGATGATAATCATTAGTTCAAATGAAACCGACAGTATTGGGAAATTATATAAAGATAATATAATTGAGCAATATCATGGGGGGTTAAAATGATGAGTGAACTATCACTGATCCTCAAGTAGAATAGACTTACGTTCCAGCAATCTCTTGATATGTACTGGTGATGATAAAATCAGCATTGTTCATTGCTATTAGGTCAGCAGTGAATTGGCAAGAAAAATGATACTTCTCCTCAAACTTTTTCCAATATATATCTGAATCTGGATATTTCGTTTTCTCTAGTGCATGCGCAATTGTGCACTACAAACATAAACATTTGCATCTAGTAAGTAGCGATCTCATAAGACGATAATGTGAGCTTTCTGATTTTGTACTGCTTAGTAAGAGAAGGAAAAATGAAAGGATAAAAACCTGTGTCACTCCCATTTTATAAGCTAATAAAGACGCAACAAGGTTTCCATCACTGTAGTTTCCAATAATGAAGTCCGGATAACCCTGCAGCTCAGCGGCAATTTCACTGGCAACATCCTGTGTAAGAGCAACCAAAAGTATTGGAACCGTAAGGCTAGCAAATGTAGCACACATTCTGTAAACGTCAGAATCATAAACTAAGCTAAGAAACCATACAATACTACGACAATATTTCACAGGCGAGGGTAATTTCAGTTATCTACAGTCCAAGACCAACCTCTGCATAAGTCTCCAGATAAGGCCATACGTCAAACCTTGAGATCCACTTACGTAGAGTTCCTGTATCTGATCTGAAAGGAACTCGCAAAATATGAGTGTGTTCAGTGCCACTGACTCTTTCTAGCCGCTGATTGCATGTTGTCCCCTTTGCATCAGGTATCAACCTGGTAACCTTGAAACAGTAAAAATAACTATTTAACTAAACAAAAATCACTACTATTCCAAATCACAGAAAATGAGCCAGGATAACAATCTTACGATTAGAATTCTTGGAGTGAAATCTAGTCCTTGCTTCTGGATTCTAAGAAGCATCTCATTCTCAAGGGCACGCACTTGATCCAATATATAAACAACCTGCAGATATGAAGCTTTTATTTAGGATGGTGCTAAAACAATGTTTCACATGAATGCACGAGTCAAAATATCAGAAGTGTATAGAGAAAAGAGAAATAATCTTAAGATTCATGAGATTTACCTGCCCACCAGTGTCGGGCAAACCCAAGACATTGGCTTGACCAAAGTATCCATGAGGAGATAATATAACAACATTAAAGACCATAGGTACTCTCCCAAGAAACGTCTCTAATGTAGAAGGATCAGGAGCTTGTAGAATGTCCAGGAGAAGATGCATCATCTCCAACACTCTTTCAGCAGTATCACCCCACCCTCTCTCAAAACCCATTCCCTGTAACCTGCAGGCAGAAAAGAAGAAGAAAATATCAAACTACAATATTCTGGAGAACTCCTCACATCAGGATACAAGCTGCATCGCAAAGCCATGTAAAATCCATGATAAGTTAAACTTACACATATTCAAACTCAGAATAGCCGGTATCAGGTTTGAGTTTAGAGAGATAATCCTCAGCCTTGACCAAAGCTGACTGAAGTTTGGAGATGCTTTGTATACGGTCATTTAACATCAGCGTCTGCGCCAATATCATGAAGGGAAAGAAAAATCAGCCATGTAAGGAGATTAAAGAAAATAAAAAAATAAAAGATAAACATTAAGCACAGTACTGCAGAGTGGATATCAAAAGCATCCGTGCATCATAAAATTATATCCAACATTAAATGCACCAAAGTATATTTAAAGATAGAACAGGAGCCATTCAGCACAATCACTATAGTACAAGAAGGAACTTCGAGGCACAGAAAACTTACGTGCCCTTTATATGTGTGGAGTCTGAGGAAATCAAGTAATGGCTCCAAGGAATCCTTGTTCCGAAACATGATTGATGAAAGGTGACGGTTAAGAAATTGAACGCCGTTGCCAATGGATGATGATCGAGATGGACGAGGAAATGTAGCATTGAATGGCTCAAAGTCAAGCTCCAAGACGAAATGGTCATGAGTCCTGACGATATTTAAAAATAGGGGGGGAATCAAAATGTTAAGAGATCGCAAACCCAGGTCAGAAATTTCCCAAAAAGAAAAAAACGTAACCATAGAAAGAGTGGAGTAATAGATTTCTTACGTTCCATCTACAAGCTCCTCTTTGAAGTGAAGATATTCAGGGA